TCGTTTTCAAATGAGAAAAAATAGACACATAAAGTAGAGTAATTTGTCCAGGCACATCTACCTAGTTTATACAGGATATGAGACCCAAAAAAAGGACTTTATTTCAGCTAGACATAAATAATAACTCGGAGAAACATCCTCACTGAGGGCTTCTGTGAGCCTAATAAAAACCAAGTCATATTTCATATATGCTTGTTTAATAAATTTTGTTATTATATTGAGCTTACTTATTTGTGGGTAGGTCTCTCCTTCACATCCTGGATATGAATCTCTACAGCTGCACTTGCTCTCTGAGTGACCCATGGCAAGTTGCTTTACATCCCCAGCTCTTCTTCTCTAAAATAGGAAATGCAACAGCACCAACTTCACAGTGCTAGAGGACCATTTTGTTGCATTACACACCATGTTGTACACCAGGAAGATTCTGGAATAAGTAGGGGATAGTTTTTATTTATTTTATGTTTCCCAGATAATTGTGTTCCATGTTTGATAAATCATCTTATCAAACAACCAAAAAGATTCAGTCAACAAGGTAACAGGGAAGTTGAGCATTCAAAAGAGATAAAGATGAAATATAGAAAGAGACATACATAGGGAAGGTCTTAGTCTAAATGGGTGGCAACATACTGTAAAACTAGATGGATGAGCAAAGGAAACACACAGTAGTAGAGGAGATTTTCCCACTAATTCCCCAATCCAGCTCCCGGGCTCTTCAACTTGAAAATCTCTATATTTAAGTAACACAAGTATTATATTCATAATACATTTTTAGATACACTTAAGGAATGTAGAGTTTATGGCTATAAAGTGGCACCACTCAGACTAAGTACCAAGGTCAAATGTCTCCACAAACAAGTTCTAGGCCCCTACAATTCATTGTAAGGATGAATTTGATGTAAGCAGATTCCTTGATGAATGTCTAGTAAGTGTGAAACTGCGAGTTCAAACCACAGTAGCACAAAAAGTAAAAAATAAAAATAAAAAGACTATTACAGGTGTAGTGGTATCATTCCTATTCTTATTACTGTCATTACATTCCACACATGTCTCTTGGATCCAGCAGAGAAAGATGACAGAACTGTGGCTCCTAAAAAAAAAAAAGAAAAGAAAAGAGAAAGTGGCTCCCCTAAAGCTCAGCATTCATCAATGCCAGAACCAGCCCCTGACATGCTGCTTTAAGAGACCTCCACCCATCTCAGAGTTCTGATGCTCAGCACTTTGCATAGGCACTCCAAGCAGGCCCGATGGCCCAGCCTTAGCTCTACATGTAGTCAAACTTCTCATTCTACCCTGTTTTCATTAATAACGAGGGCAAAGAGGCAGTGGCTGCAGCAGCAATGAAGCCAAGAGAGAAAGCAGCTGGTATGGGAGGGCTTTGTGCCAGACCCCTTCCCAGAGGGTCCCTGACACTGATTGCAGCAGTAAATGAAGAGAGCCAATAACTGTGCGGGGGGGGGGGGGGGGGGGCACTGGATCCTGCCAGGAAGGGACAGGGGAGGTAAGGATTCTTGTAATTACACTGGTGCAGGCTCATGAGGTTATCCCAGTGGACTCTGGATCCTGCAGCAGCTCCTATTTTAGCAGGAGCTTGGCAAGCCAAACCAAATGTGACTCATCCAGGCCACCTGTAAACGAATTCAATGCCTAACAACCTGTACAAAGCTACTAATTGTCGTAATTCACTTGGCACCTCTTCCCCAGTAGGTGCTACACCAGTGCCATAGAGGGAAAGTCCATTTCCTGTTAACGTCAGTTTTATCCTCCATAATTAATGCAGCGTAGAACTGTGTCATTTGAAAAAACCCAAGTACCATATTTTCCTCAGAAACCCGTGTTTAGCATCTCTTCTTTTGGCCTTCTCTTTCTCCACTCTTGTGACAAACATCTTAACTTTCTCTCTGGCTCATTTAGTTACTACTTCTCTGATGCATAATTTGAGTTGCAATTATTTTCTCATTTTCCCCTCCAGCTGGCACTAGTCTTGGTTGCTTCCATCTTGTACATCTTTAACATGTCACACTGTTGTCCTAGCTTATTGAAAAACCCTGGAAAGAGGGAAACGGTAACCAAAGTCAGTGCGTTCTCATGTCTCTAAAAGGCTGCTGGATGCCTGTGTGCTAGCTAGCACTGATAGAGTGGAACTCTAGCAAGCCAGCAGTGCACAGCTGGGCACTATTTCAAAGAAAAAGTTGGAAGACACCATTTCAATCTCTCTCTCTCTCTCTCTCTCTCTCTCACACACACACACACACACACACACATACACACACACACACACGAAGGTAAGCTGAGTGCCATTGACTTCTGCCTGTTACCTTAGCTACTCAGAGGCTGAGATCTGAAGACTGCAGTTCAAAGCCAGCCTGGGCAAAGAAGTCCTTGAGGCTTTTATTCCAATTAACCACCAAGAAGCCAGAAGTGGAGCTGTGGTTCAAGTGATAGAATTGCAGCAGGGGGAGGGGGGAGAGAAGAGGAGGGGGAAGCCAACTGAGAGCTCAAAGCCCTGAGTTCAAGCCCCCATACCAGCATAAAAAGGGAAGGGAAGGGATGGGAAGGTGGCTCAGTGGTATAGTGCTTCCCTCTCATGCATAAGGACCTGGGTTCAATTCCTCAGCACCACATAAGCAAAAAGAAAAAAGCCGGAAGTGGCGCTGTGGCTCAAGTGGTAGAGCGCTAGCCTTGAGCTGAAATGCTGAGGGACAGCGCCCAGGCCCAGAGTTCAGGCCCCACGACCCCCCCCCACACACACACACAAGGGAAGGGTAGAGAAGGGAGATATACTGGATCAGAAGCAGAGCATGACCATTTAGTAATGACAGTGTCCCCTGCAGCAGGCTCTCGCTGTATTTGACACAGCTGCAATGAGCGGCCACCTCCCGACTATAACTTCCATAAATAAGATACTTAGGGACAAAGATTTGTTATTCTGTATCTATGTCCCCCTACAAGATGCGGTGACTTAAGCTTAGCTCTGAAAGGAGACAAATAAAAAACCAAAATTTTGCAACAAAACAATGGGTTTTTTTTGTCTGAAAATGGAGCATCACTGCATCCATTTTCAGACATTTTCATTTGCATTTCAGTCTTTTTATATCCAATATAGTACATTGTCAGTATAATTAAATTTCTTAAATGAATACTAACCAATATCAATCTGTAACTTGTTTGTACAAACTTAAGTACAACAGTTTGCATGTTTTCTACACATGTCACAATGGTTTATAAATGACAATTTTTAAAATGCACCTAAGACTAACTTTCCCAAACATCTAACTAGATGCTTTTGCGAAAAAAAAGCAAGTCCCAAGGAACTCCACCAACTCCTTTCTCAAAAGTTTTATGGAAGTAAAAAGAAGAAACAAATAAATTTGTTCTACAAATATGATTATGATTTTAGTCTTGAATTATATTTACAGGTCAAGAGACCATATTGAGGGAGTGCGGAAGAATCTAGTGATCAAAAATCAGAGTGGTAAGCTGATTGTAGTGGCTCTGAAATCATATATACTCAGGAAGTGGAGATTGGGAAGATTATAGTTTGAAGCCAGCCTGACCAGTAAGTTCATGAGACTCTGTCTCAACCAATAAAAAGCAGGGTGTAGTTCACTCATATGCCTGCTGTCATCCCAGCTACATGGAAAGCCTTAGTAGGATTGCTATCCAGGTCAATCCATTCCAAAAGTAAGACCCTATTAAAAACTTAACAAAAGCAAAAGGGGCTGGAGGCATGGCTTAAGTGGTAGAGTGCCTATATAGCAAATGCAAGACCCTGAGGTCAAGCCCCATTACCACCAAAAATAGATATCAGAATGCTTTCTACTGTTCATCAGACAATGTTCTCAAAGTTGAACAAAGCAATCCCTCATTCCCACAGAGGGAAAAAAATTAGGTACAAAAAGGAAATGAAGTTAAAGACAATTTTCTTTGTCTTCCTCTTTTCCTCTTTAAAATGTTTTTGTTCCTTTCTTTGTTTGTTTTTGTTTGTTTTGCTGCTAGGGACTGAGTTCCATGTCTTCAACGTGCTAGACTCACTCTACCATAATCTACATTTCACTCTAGCAGTTATTTCAAAGACAGAAAGACCATTTCCTCTTGTTTTCTCTTGCCTTCTGATTTTTAGTATTACATCAATTGGTACAGTTTTTATTTTATACATATTAACCATTACAAATATCAATTAGGCCAGCCACTATTTTTATTCACTTATTTTACATTAAAATGACAGCAGGGTATAGTTAGACAGTAAGAACTATTTTAACTTTCAGTAACTAGAAAAAAGGAATTGTATTAGTTAAGAATCTTTCAGATTCAAGTCATGAAACTTGAACTTGAGTCAGCTGAGGCAAACGAGTATTTCTGTGAGAATGATGGAAAAGTCCAGGTATCTAATCAACAGAGCCTGGGGTTGACACAGCTCAACCACAAAGAGAAGAAAGTCCAACACCCTCCCTCCCATTGGTCCCTTCAGTGGTTCAGCCCCTTTCTTAGACTTTGAGCTTTCCCATTTGATGGCCACGTCCAGAGGACAAATCACCTCAAGGGCACAATTGGAACCCAGGATCCAAGTAAAGGTAATTCTCAATAAAAGAAGAGGCATTAAACAGGCTAGTAACCAGACAGTACAAGAATAAATAATCAGGAAAAACAAAAGCAAGCCCAGATTTGAAAGCTCAGCTATGTCAAAGAAAGAAGATAACCTAACATTGAATACTAGAAGTTAGTATTAAGGCACTCCTTGATGCTTTCTGGAAAAAAAAATCCTTTAAAAAAGTAATAAAACCAAAGAATAAATATTTTAATGGTAATATACTATACTATTTTTTCTCTTCCCTTTCTTAGATGATTTTTGCATTTTTCTCTTAATATCTATGCTTTTGGTCTAAAAAATGCCCTTCAGTTTTCATGCAAAGTGTCCATAATGTTGGTTTTAGGATTGTTTTTGAGTTAGATATGGTGTATTTTTAGGGTTCAGAATTGGTCCAAAGATATCTATGCTATGTTTAAGATTCAGATTCCAAGTCTCCATGCTCCAGATTCTCAGGAGTCTCCAGTTCATGTTCCTCTTGCAACTGCAACATTTTCAAGTTTAACTCCAGTAACGTTCTGGTCAGCTGATGGCTCTGGAAACGCATATCCAGCTACAAGTTTGGAAGAAAATAAAGACTTTGATTAGGTTGAGAGACCAATCAAAGGAAACCACTTTCTGACGCCACAGGAGAAAGAAGTACAGGAAACGAAGATATCAAGAAAGGATGTGTTTCTCCTCTTTTTCTCCCAATCTGAGTGTGTGGCCTGGCTATAAAATGGACTTCTCTATCTGACAAGGTAAAATCCAGATATATAAATTGCTTTGGAAATGACCTTGAAATGAAAACAAAACTAGCTGATGCACAAAGCTGTCCATATGAAAAATACCTGGGTACGAAAGGCTATTTTCCAGCAATGGCATGTGAGCCGTGGTGAAATCATTTATCTTTATGAGTTTTCCCAGCCACAGGGTAACTGCCCGGGGCCATCTGAGTGTTCCAGACCTGAGACCGTTTACTTGATTACTTGTCATTTCAAGTTTTCAGGATTAAAATGCCTCCCTACTGAACAAAAACATTTAATGACACCTTCGAGGCACATGTATAGTTGCGTGTACTTATATAATCGAATGCTTTTCACTCTAGGATGCAATCTATTATAGAGCAAGGCTGATTTATACCCTCCTTCCAGAGGAGTTTGTGATGGTCCTCAAATGTTAAAATAAATTTTTTAATATCTCTCTAGGGAAGATCACCTAGGAGGCAATCTCACAAAGTTTAGTCTAATATAATCTTTGTATTATCACCTAAAACTAATGATCAGCTACTTGCAAACATCTTCAATTGGGGGTTTGTGTGATGTGCATCATAAGAAACATATTCTCTCTGTTTAAAATTCTTTATCAACTCATCAGCAGTCACCAGGACATTATGTTAGGAGAAAGCAAATACTATGTTGGCTGTCCCTTCTCATTTTGCGAAATAATGCTATTGGGAACAATATCTTTTCCATTTTCCTCTAACATGATTTTTTGTTGTGGTTTGGTTTGGGAAAAAAAAATAAGACAGATGGGCTTCTGCCAAACAGATAGTAATGGTAACCTCACAGCACAACCACCAAAAGCCACGGCACCTAGTCTGTAAGATTTCATTCTCTAATGCATCCCCAAAGCTCTAGGTTCCTGCCCTGAGTTTCCAGCTTTTTTCTTGGCATTTTCTCCCATGCCAATTCCCACTACAGGTGTTCAGACATCTTGGAAGTCCCTGAGGAAATACTATGCTAAGCCACTCCTCCTGATCCCTTTGTTTAAGACTTCTTTGGTCATTTCTCTTTCCACTGAACACATATGCTAGTTCTTCCATAACTGCATGAGCAGGTGCTAAGTGCTCTTGTTTGCATTTCAACAATATCCATACACATGTCTCTCATAACACATAGGCTAGACTACAATGATACTGCTGAGAGCAGAGTTTGTTCCTGATTGTATCCCCAATTATGAGTGCACACATGGAAGAGTCTCTGGGTTCCTTAAAAGCCTGAGTGAATGAAAGGATAAATGAGTGAACTGATATATATATCTGTCCTCTACTTTCCCACTAAGAACCAAGGAGCAAAATTGTTGATAATTATTTACTAAAGTATGTATAATTCACACTTATTTAGGGCATTCAAACACCAATGGTCTTTAAACTTTACTTTCACTATAGATCTCTTTCAGAGTCTAGAGAAAGCTGTGAACTCTCCCTGAAGAAAACAAAATGCATGCCACGCACATAAAACCTTTTTCAATTTTAGGCTTATGGAATACCTAAAATCCACTCAGAAACCCTAGAAACTAATATGTTCCTCTTAGAGGACTAAGCACACAGAAAATAGTATAAATAACAACATGACTTTAAATTAACTGGACTTGTTCATCATTATTCTTTCCATAAATCTCATCCTGACAGAGAGTACACGCATACATGTGTGTGTGTATGTTCTACAAGTATCAAGCTGATAGTGTATTATCGGGAATTACTTCTAGATTTGACAATATTGAGCTTAAATATCCACTCTTGCTTCTTCCTCATGAACAATCAGCCAACAATTAGCACTTTTATGACAAGGTTGACCAATGACCATGACCTAGGCACATCTAATTTCCCCCTTCTCCCTCTCCCTCTCTCTCTCTCTCTATATATATATGTATACATACATGTGTATACATATATACACATATATATACACTTTTTGACATAATCCTCAAATTCTATAATTTTCACATAGGAGCAACAAATAGTACTTACAGTGGAGAACTTCTCATAATGCTATCTCATATTCTTACAGCAATTCTATGAGTATTATCTCCAGGCAAATGAACAAGTTCACATTTGGTTCTTAATTCCCCCAAGTCATTGGTGTTAGCTAATGCTGGAGTTCAAACTCTCCTCTGGTTTATTCTCTATCTTCTCCTAGTCCCCAATACCTTCCTTACCCAAAATTCTTAGCTGTAGAGTGACTTACTAGAACATTAAGGTGCAGGGGTGTCTCATAGCTCCAGTATGGTCTCCTTGCTGGGTTTAACTATAAATGACTTGAGATGCAGATAAAGGTAAAGACACATTGTGGGTCAGTAATACAGAGAGGCTCCTGAGCCAGGCAGTTTGGCACCCAGCCCAAAGCACAGGCCTGGTGTCTAAGAAGATGGTTTCTTTGTTTAACTTAGATTCCCGGTTTAAACTGTGGATGACAATGGGGTAGCAATTCTACTAGCATTCAGTGCCAAAGAGAACTTTCCATGTCAAGTCTCCATTACCCAGGTTCATAAGCAACACTGCTTTAAAGCCTGAAGTGCTTGTCTTTTTTTCAGATCGCCTAATTTAGAAAGTTTTTCATTGAACAGGGGCCTAAAATGCCCACGTATGTTTACTCCTCTTTCAGTCTTCACTAACCTGCTTAATGTTCCAAAGCTGCAATTTTACACAAGGCCTTATTGTGTAAATATGGTGTATAGATTAGGTAAAATGGGTGTCAGCGTTGAGGACCGCTTTCCTCCCAGGTGGCCAATGGCACGGTTGGTGCACACATCAGAACTGTGGAAGATCGGAGGCTAGTGACCTCTCCCCTGCCCCCCCCCCCTCCGGGAGCAACTCCTGTCCCTACCCCCCAAGTCCCTAGGTGGGCCACGCCATTCTAAAACGGGGGGTGATGGGCCCCGAGAGTGCTGTGGAGCGCCAGTCGCACCGCCCGCGCTCACCAGCTCCGCGCGCAGCTTGGCCAGAGCGCACTGCACGCGCGCCCCGCTCCGCTCTTCCCGCGCCCGGATCCGCTCTTCCCGCGCCGCCGCCGCCGCCGCCGCCGCCTCCCGCGCGCGCCGAGAACTCCCGCGCGCCACCGCCCGCTGGAAGACGCGCACCAGCCGCCGGCCCAGGTCCTCCAGCCGCCAGCTGGCCCGGGCGCTCGGCTCCTGCACGTGGTTGCCCGTGTCGCCCCCGAAGGTATCATCACCCGTCGAAGGAGAGCCTGGAGACCAAAGGCCAGCTCTACCCGGGACTCCAAGGAGTCTCCGGGTGCTGCGCTGTCTGGACTGGCCCAGGTCCCCCAGGCCCATGTTGGAGACGCAGAGTCTCCCTTCCAACGTCTGCTAGCGATGTGGCTGCACGTGTGAGCCCTAGGGATTGAGGTCAGACCCGGGGCGGGGGAACTCCCGCGCGGGGCGGGACGGTGCGAGGGACGCTGTGACTGCGCAGCGACTCGCGGCGCCCTGGCTCCAACCCCTCTACTGCCCTTGAACTGCGGCGGGAGGAGGCGGTTCCCTCCGGTAGAACTTTCCTCATTTTCCTCATGCTCTTTGGGGTGGAGACTAAGGAAGGAGGCTTGGACATTGAGCTGTGTGGAAGTAGGTGATGTTGAGATGCAAGCAGGTTTGGACCCAATGGTGAACTATGTTGACCCGAAGCCCTCAAGGTTGCTTTGATTGCTGAATACTCGGCCTTTAAACTACTTCTGACTGAACGGTCTGCCAAACAAAGGCTAATCTGATCCCTTTCCTCTCCCCAGGAATTGCCCACCAATTGAGAAAAGACATCGAATTACTATTTCTTCTTTCCTTCTTCTTCTTTTTTTTCTTTTAGGAATAATTTTATCTTTAAGTAGTTGTACAAAGGAGTTGTCATTCAACAAAGCAGTTTATGAATACACTGCATCTTGATCCCTTCCAATATTTTCACCCACCCCTCCTAACCCACCCTTTCCCTCACGTTTCTTAATTTTTAGGTTATGCATTGAATGTGTTGCTCTTTATCAAAGCAGTTTAGGTATACATTGCATCTTGAGCTGTGTCATCCCTTCAACATCTTCCCCCTTCAACCCACCCTCTCCCTTGAATTCTCAATTCTGTGGTATATACAACTTAGTCTTGCCTGTAGTCTCCTTCTTTTCCCTCTTCATTCTGCTCCCCTTTCCCCCTTGGCCTTACCTGGCTGTGAATGGTCTTACTAGTGAGTTATCCCAGGCCATTCCCTCCTGCTGGAATTCTGAAATTCAGTGTTCCCTCCTACCCTTGGCTCCTTGACACAATGTCCACATTTATGAAGGGCATGAAATAAAAATCAAAGCATCTTACTCCAAAGTATGCAGTTTTATAAAGACCAGTGTATTCACGTCCCAATATTACGTATGTCCTCTATCCATGAACATAGTCTACTGCCTCTTTGTGAGCTCATATGGAATTTCTTTGAAGAAATGAATACACTATAGTCATAGTGATTGCCAAAGACAAATAAATGTTCAGACCTCATGCATTCATTCAATAAACATTAACAAGTTGACCACAATGTTCCAGGGTCCTTCGTAAGTACTAAAGGCAAAACAAGTTAGGTGGATTTTTAAAATTGTTTTCTTTTTTCTGATCTTTTACTTCCCTTCCTTCCTTATTCCTTCCTTCCTTCTTCCTTCCTTTCTTTTTTTTTAATTTAATTTAATTTTATTTGTGAACATACTGTACAGAGGGGTTACAATTACATGGGCAGGATAATGCGTACATTTCTTACCAAGCATTGCAGCCTCCTTCCTTCCTTTCTTCTTTCCTTCCTTTCTTCTTTCCTTCCTTTCTTCTTTCCTTCCTTCCTTCCTTCCTTCCTTCCTTCCTTCCTTCCTTCGTTTTTGGCAGCTCTGCTGAACTCAGGGCTTTGCTAGGCAGGCATTCTATTACTTGAGCCATGCCTTCATGCCAAATGCTAGTTTTTATTAGCACTTACTATATGCTATCCATTGGTATAGATATAGATATATTAACTCATATACTCTTCACAATAGCCCTGTGAAACAGGTACTAACACTTCTGTATTTCCCAAATGAGGACATTGATTCAAGGAGTTTAATATTCATGTTAGATAGGGCAAAGCTGCAAAGTAGTTCCCCTGGGTATTTGCCCCTAAGTTGCCTGAATTGTATCCAAACCACTGGGATGCACCCTCGCTCCCTAAAAAGAAGAGGTTTTCTCTTCCATGGAAGAAGAGTAGGAGGTCAGGCTCATGGTGCTTAGCAAACTTAACTCTACTGAAATGACTTATGTCTCCACTGGATAAGAAGGTTACAGGTTGCCAGGTCTCTGTCAAATGCAACACCTCGCAATGGTTTACAACCTAACCCCAGTGATTACCTGTCATTGTGTATCTCTCAAAGTCTCTAGAAATATTGGAGGATGTGTTCTGTTGGTGGATATAGAAAATCCATATAGTCCACCACTTAGCAATAGCGTATAAAGTTCCATTTGGGTTGGTTTGGTGGTTGGTTGATGGAACTTGAAAATCAGGCCTTGTTGGGGCTGGAAAGGTGGCTCAGTGGTAGAGTGCTTGCCTTGCATGCATGAGCAGCACCACATGAGCAGAAAAAGCTGCCACAGTGGCGCTGTGACTCAAGTGGTAGAGTGCTAGCTTTGAGCTGCAGAGCTCAGGGACAGTGCCCAGGCCCAGAGTTCAGACCCCATGACTGAAAAAAAAAGAAAGAAAAATACATCAGCCCTTGTCAAGGAACAGTGTAAGTGTTTAAAATGAGTTTTCCACCATGACTTTTCACTTGTGTTCCCAGATCATTTACTTCAACAAGAATTTCTGTGAAGTTCAATTTAATTCAACAAAGAATGAATGGTTGCTGTGTGGTGTGGACTGTTGTACCTTGTGAGGAAATACAAAAAACGAATAAGACATAGATTTTGTCTCCAGGAGCTTAGAGCCCAGGACTCATTCATTCAACAGTGTTTACCTCATGTCACATTATGTACCAATTATGACCCACCATGCTCAGGCTACAGAATAAACCAAAGACACAAAACTGTGTTCTAAAATAGACTGGTTTGTGCACCCTTGGGCAGCACATATACTAAAATAGACTAATTTTACCACAAATAAATGCCTTTCCTGCCATAGACTGCTTTTTCAGCTAAGGTTCACTTTGAATTTTATGATATTATTTTCTTTTACATGAGCAAAGTGAATTGAAAATTAGAGAGTTAGGAATTAATAATACAGACATTCAAGGTAAGAAATACATTAGGTATCTATTCCTGCCCAACAAATTATTTCCAATTTGACTTAAAAACAGTAATATTAATTTCCCTGGTGATTTCTTTGCTTTCCCAAAATGTTACATGTATTTATTTTACATTTTAAACATATGATATACTTATATACATATTTATATATTCTATATTTATAAATATAACTAAAACATATATGTATATCATGTTTGAGAAACCACAAAACTTACAAAGATAATTTATATATAACATGTAATATAATCATTTATATGCATTCATATATTTTCACACATGGGTACTTAGCATTTCTTATATTCTTCATTTCTGTTTGAATTCTATATTTTATTTTTATTCATTTGCGTTCAAGGCTGGCCTTGAACTTGAAATTCTCCTGCCTCAATCTTCCAAATACTGGGATTTGCAGGTATGTGTCACCACATAATATTTTTCTTATTTCTAATTGATACAAAAACTTTATGCATATTTATATCATCCCATATGATGTTGCAACATGTGATGTTCAAATCAGAATGAGCATATCTATCTATCTATCTGAACACTTCATGGTAAAATAAAAAAGAGAGAGAAAGAAAGAAAGGAAAATCTTTCTTCTAGATTTTTTTAAATACACAGGCCATTGCTACAGTCACTCCACTGTGCAAGAGTACACAGACTTATTTTTCCTGTCTTACATAACTTCCAACTCGTTGATCTGTGCCTTTTTCCACCCTTCTGATCCTCCACATCCCCCAGTCCCTATAACCAACATTCTGCTTACTTTCCATGAGATCAATATATTATGGATTTCACATACAAACAAAATCATGTGACACATGCCCTTCTTCACCTGGCTTATTTCCCTTAAAATAATGTCCTCTGTCATGGATGAAAATCCATGACAGATTTCACCCTTGTTATAGCTAAATATTATTCTGTTCTGTATATTTGCCATTTTCTTTATCCATTTATCAGTTGATGGATTCTTAAGTTGTTTCTGTCTCTTGATGGTTATGTGTACTGTTGCAGTAAACACTGGAGTGCAGCTGTCTCTGACATTTTAACTTCCATTTCCTTTGGACACATACTCAGGAGTTTGGTGCCCCATCTTTTATTAACTCACAGAACCTTTGAGGCCCATCTGGATTTGCCCCATGTGGCATCCCCTCCACATCTCTGATCTCATCCCCTTCTACAACACCCTGGCATCTTTAATGTCTCCATCTCGGGGCATTTGCTTTGTTGTTGTCATGTTCTTGTTCATACAACAGAAGCCAAACAAGGGTGGCATTCTATACACAAAATTCCAATTTCATCTCCTTATCTCTCTAAAGAAAATCCTAAGAGTATTATGTCATTTGCAGGGAAATGGATGAACCTAGAACAAATGCTAAGTGAGGAAAGCCAAGCTCACAAAGACCTTCTCTCATATGAGGAAGCTAGATCTAAACTACAATAGAACGTGATAAATTATCCAGGACTGTAAGCATTCACACGCAGTGAGACCAAAGGAGCATATTCTTAGGAAAAGAACACAAAGGCACATCTGGTCATATAAATTAATATTTATCAAAATGAACTCCACTAATTGGAAATGAGTTTTTTTTCTTCATTGTCTTTTGTTTTTGTCTTGTTTGGTCATTTATCTGTCTTTGGGAGGACAAAGGGGGGCAGAAATGGAGGGACAAAAGAGTGAACAAATGCAGCAGTGGTATTCACTAGACACTACACTGACCTATACAACTGTGGGTAGGGATGGGAGGTGAAAACTGGGAGAGAGTGAAGGAAGGGGTGACACCGTCCAAAAAGAAATACACTTATTACATGATTTATGTAAGTGTAACCCCTCTGTACATCAACTTTATAATAACAATTTTTTTAAATTTTAAAGATTCATTACTTAGGATAAGGCATAGGAGAGCTACACCTATAATTCAAACAATTCAGGACAAGGAAGTAGAGAATCACTGTTTTAGGCCAACTAAGGCAAAAATTAGTGTAAGACCCTATAGGAAAGGGGAATTGAAAACAGAAGAACTTGGAGTATGAATCAAGTGGTAGAATGCCTGTGTGAG